GGCATAAGACGGGCTCCTTCATAGCATGTAATAATTTTATTATCATCTAGAAAAGTTTCTTAAGCCTATTAAAATCTTACTTGTGAAAACAAAAATGACATGATTCATATTTATCATTCTACATTCCAAATGTTTGATTTCGCTTTCTCCTTAACCGTAATTTTTTTTGACACGCTCATGATCACATTATTTCCAAAGTGCTCAGTAATTTTCCAAGTGATTTTAAACTCCCTCTTCTCTCCCTCCTTCCTTCCCTTTTACACCCCCCACCCCTCCCCACACACTAGGAAAATTACTAAAGGAAATTTAGAAACCTTCATCTGGAAGCTGGCAAGTTTATGACTCAGTTTTTACATTAATTGATGGTGCAATAGCAGGAAAAAATTTTTCTGAAATCAGCAAAACCCTAAATAATAATCACCTGAAAAGGAAAAATGAGTCTGTAAAAGTCATAAACTGTCCTCTGCATTTTCTTTATGTATTCAAACTGAGAAGAAAACAATAATAAACTTATTTCTCACTGAATAATTGTACTAAAAATTACCTACATTCACTATATTCTATTTGTTTTAACACAACATGACTGGCAAACCACAGTGAGCAAGTGAACCATATAAACAAAAATCCTAGCAAGCTAGAGCCAAACACTGGCATCTGTGATGGAGTTTATTAGTTACACATTTGAAAGTGCACAGTCAAGGACAATTTGTTTTTCAGCTGAAGCCACAAGTAGCAAGAACTGGACAGTATTACATCATTATCAAGAATTCAGTAACAACAAAAATGGATATATATCTAAAAAAGAACAGCCTAGAAAGCATTATTTTGGGCTGTGGGTTGTAGGTATGTGGGAGTCTTAACTGCCAGAACCTTAGAAGGTGACCTTATTTAGAATAAGGTAATTAAATACATAATTAATTGAGACCATACTAGAATTAGGGTCAACCTCTAATTCAGTATGTCTAGTTTTCTTAGAAGAAGACAGCCATGTGGTCTTAGAAGACAGCCGTGTAAAGACACAGGGAGATGCCATGTGAAGATGGAAGTAGAGATTAGACTAATGCATCTATATCTAAGGAACAAGGATTGGAGGCCTTCATCTGGAGATAAGAAAGAGGCACAGAATTGATTCTTCCTCAAATCCCCCTTGGTTGGTAGAAACCAACCCTAATGTTATCCTGATTTCACATTTCAAGCCTCTAGAACTATGACCAAATAAATCTGTGTTGTTTTAAGCCACTCTGTTTGTGGTACTCTGTTTCAGCAGCCCTAGGAAATGAATACACCTACTATCAAGAAAAACTTTCAAATTTTAATAAAAACTGTTCATAACTGCCAAAACCTGGAGATAATAAAAATGTCCATTAATAGCTGAATGGTCAAACTACGCTATATCCCCTACAAAAGAATGTAATTCAATAATAAGAAAAAATAAGTTATTATATCATGAAAAGACATAGAAGAACCTTAAAAGCAAACAGTTATGCATCACTTAACAACAGGGATGTGTTCTGAGGTATGCATCATTAGGGAATACCACCATTGTCCAAACATCATAGAGTATACTAACACAATCCTAGATGATGTAGCCTCAGACACAACAGGGCTATGTAATATACTTACTTCTCCCAGGCTACAAACCTGTGCAGCACTGCACTAAATATGCTAGGCAACTGTAACACCACGCTAAGTATTTATGTATCCAAATACATGAAAAGTACAGTAAAAATATAACAGATTTTTAAATGTATGCCTATGCAGGGCACTTACCACTGATGGGAGTTTGCAGGTCTAGAAGATGCTCTGGGTGAGTAAATGAGAGTGAATGTGGAGCCCTGGGAAATTACTGTGAAATATTATACTTTGAGGTACATGACTATATTGCTTACATGGAAGAAACTAATCTGAAAAAGCTGCATAGCAAGTGATTCCAACTACATTCTGGGAAAGGCTGAAATATGGAGACAGAAAAAGATTACTGATTACCAGGAATTCAGGGGTGGGAGGCAAAAAGAATTTTTAGGACACCGAAACTATTATGAATAATCAGTAATGATAGATACATGTTATCATACTTTTGTCAAAACTCATAGAATGTACAGCACAAAGCTATGTACACCCAAACTATGAACTTAAGTTAATAATAATGTATCAATATTGATTTATCAATTGTAACAAATGTGCTATAATGATCAAGATATAAATAATAGGCAGAACTGACAGGCAGAGGCAGGTAGCAAAGGAAGCACCCTTGTTTAAAGCAAGTTTTTCTGTAAAGCTAAAACTGTTCAAAAAATAAAACTATTTTTAAAAATACAAGCTGTTCTCAAAACACATAGGTAATATATTAAGTCTCTAACAGTTCCTGGCACAAAGAATGTTATAAAATAAATGTCAGTTCCTTCCACAATCAGTAAAAATCTCAACAACAAAAAAATTCTCCCTTAAAGATAACATTATTTCATTCAACACCAAGTAATATTTTCTACTTCCTTAACCCTTGTATTCAATTTATTTCCAATTCTAGTCATGTCTTTTGTATTTATTCCCTACTTACCCCTAATACAGCCTCACTTTCCCATCCTTATTGCTTAAAGGACTAGCCCCACACTTTTTGATGTTATATTTCAGTGGTCCTCAAACTTTTGAGTTGCAACATCAATAAAATGCAAGTAAGAGTTTGAGTTAACACATTGGGGTGCAGACTTTTTTTATTGCTAAGAATACTAACATACTAATAACCATCTACTAAAATAATTTCATGAAAGATTTTTACAACCAAAATGTTGGAAAGATATAATCTAATAAAGCACAGTCCTTTCCACTGAAGGATGGTTCATAATAGATCACCTGGCAAAACAAAATAGAAGAGATAGGTACAAGTATTACCTCAATTACTATCTTGTGCCCCCTACCAGTCAGACTATCACCATTCTCATGGAAGTTAAGCAACTTTTCCAAGGTAACACATCTCCCAAAGCAGCTGGACTTGAAATATCTGATTATACTAAGACTGTGACTGTAAACTGTACATGGTAGCCCATCCTTGTAATCCCAGCTACTCAAAAGGCTAAGGTAGAAGAATCACAAATTTGAGGTCAGCCTGAGCAATTTAGCAAAAATAAAAATAAAAAATGGCTGGGAATATAGCTCAGTGGTAGAGTGCTCCTGGGTTCAATACCCAGTGCCACAAACAAAACAAAACAACCCTGACTATGACCTATGATCATGACACAACAGCACCTTTGTGCAACTACACAGCAAGCAACTGGGGAACTAGAAGGTGAAAAAAATATGCAGACCAGAGGTGAAGGTGTGAGAGTCAACCATAAAGAGAGGACAGCTGAAACCACAAGAAAGGAAGGATTCGAAAGGAGCAAGGGATGAAGGATGTCATCCCATTGAAATGAGGAAAGAGGAGAGCAAAATACACAGAAGAGGAGTCAGTTGGGCAAACTGTTGCCAGGTCTGAAACCTAGAATAATCTTTTACTCTTGTCTCCCACTACTAGAACATACAGGCACCTCCATACACAGTACAGTCACATAGATAATTTTCAAATTTTTCCTTTCCTTTACTATGCATCACCATCCTAAAACAAGATATGTTATTCCATGTATTTTATGTTGCTCATGTTATGCTGCTCATGTTAAAGTTTCTCCATACAGTTTTCATAAATTTATGTTTATTCCTGATTATTCTGGTTTTAAAAATTTTTATTCTAAATACTAGGTGAAAGGAACTAAGATAAGCCCTTAGTGATGTGGTGGCAAGATAGAGTTGGGGAACTAGGAAAAGCTGCCTGTAGTCCTATGGCTGAGTCCTACAGTCTTCAGACTTTAGTGATCCTGTGCCCTTGGGTGGGGACACTCACAAATACATCTCCATTTCTCACTCCATTTCTCTTATGTTGGAGAAGATGGCTTAGAGGGTGATGCAGGTGGTATTTCCCTTCCTGCACGTACAGGGCCAGAGGGAGCTGGAGATAACTACTTCCCTTGCTCTAGGTCAGCTAGGCTCTGACAAACCCCACCAGGTTAGGCTCTCATAAAACAGTCTGTCTTCAAAACAGGCCCCGTTGAAAAGAAGAAAATGTTCTGGATATATTGCAAAATGACTGCCTTTTTGCTCTCCTTGTGGGAAGCAGATTTTTCTCAGTCTTCACTGTGAGAACTTCGTAGACTTCTTAAAGGTAAAGCTAATGAAAGTATGAAGGCCTCCCCTAAGACAAGGCACCCTTGGAATTTTAACTCTCAGATCCGTGTAGATGGAGCCTCCAGCAATTCATCAATTATGATTTAAGTTTTCCTACCCTGAACCTCTGCTAGCCGGTGTCTACTTCAGTAAGTGATGAATGAATGAATGAAAATACACACACACACACACACACACACATACACACACACATATATATAAAACAAAAACCAAAAAAAAAACCCAAAAGCAAAATTTTTAAAAAAAGAAAAAAGAAAGGAAGTTTCTCTGTGATTTAAAACCTGTGGTTTTCTTCTGGGATTTACAAGTTTAGGGCAATGTCCAAGTCTAGACATGTGCCTGCAAGATATGTGCCTGCAATGTCCCAGTCAAGACATGTGCCTGCCCACTTTGGTAGATAATGAAGGCAGTCAGGCCTCAGATCCGTGCTGGATGCAGGTACCAGTAGGCATTTAGGTGATTAGGATAAGGGTGAGGACATCAATGCTGTATCTTTCAAATCCAGAATAATCCAAGACCTCTGGCCTTTGGGGAAGACCTCTGACCTTTGGTTTAACCCTCTCATGAGGTCTCTCCAGCCTGACCACGGATCGCTGACCATGGCTGGCTACTGTGGCCACTGTCACCAGTCACTGTGAGAATGTACTGCTGGGAGCCCTGATTTGAAGCTGTGCCATGGTTACTCTTAAGTTCCAGTTTTAAGCAATCATCCCGTCTCTGGAATGGCATCCAACCAACCACTCTCTCCAGGTGATATGGTGGGCACATGAACCAGAGTCACTCACCAATTGTTGTCTGTCAAAGGACTCATATGGGAGCAGAATCCCATGCTCTTCCTGTAGCTTACAGCACCCACTGGTTCATTCCTCTGCTGTGTTTCTCCTTGAAGCTCTCTGGAGTCCCTAGTTTTACTTTGTCTCTGTAGATTTCGTCTCCCTTTCTAGGGAGCCATGAGCAAGGAGCTGGGGAGAAAGTGCAGATTGTCTCTTCCCTTCTCCATGTTATGTTTTGTCTCTTCGATTTCGCTGTAGGTTTTAATTTTTCTGTCAGATCCTTACTGGCTCCTGGAAATCTACTTCTCTTTTTTTCTTCCCCAAACATTCTTCCCCAATTCAGACATTTTCAGTGTCTGAATTCTGAATCTTGGAGAGGCAAGATTTTATTGCTTAAATTGTGACAGTAATTTTACTGGCTAAGACTCCTAGCATAATGCTGAAAATTGTGACAGTAATCATCAGGTCCCTTAGTTTCAAAGAAATGCTTCTAATATTTCACCATTAAATCTGAAGGTTATGGTAGAGTTTTTATCAATAATTTTTATCAGGCTAAATTCCCAGGTTCTTAAGACTTGATGTTTGTATAAGAGGTGGTGGTGGTTGTTAATCATAAATGTAAACATCTATCATTTCTTATCTAGCTATTAAAATTATGTGATAGACACTGCTCACTGTCTATGTAATATCTACATTGTGAGATTTAACTCATTCTGAGTGGATGTGTATGTTTTCAGAACATGTCACTATCACATTAATGGATACACTCTAAGAAATAATACAATGATCTCTATCCTTTAGTTCACAAAGAAAATATGCAGAACACAAATTTTGAGAAGATAACCACATTTGCCTCATTTAAACTTATAAATTTTTTAAGACAAGGCAGATAATTAAGGATAAAACCCAAAGTACTATTCCATTTATCATACATATGAATATAAAATACTTAAAAGACATAAAGGTTATAAAATACAATTCCATTTTAATATTTAATTACCAAAGGTAGATAAACATAGGTTTAAGTGCTTCACATAGGTTTCATAGGCTTCACAAAAGAAAGGAAATACTATATAATTTGACTTTTAACTTATCTTGCAATCACCATTATTTGAGAAACACATTTTAATTAAAACCCAGTGCCATCAAATTACAGCTGAAAAATAAGTGGAGCTATACATTTAAAGTCCTGTATTTTGTGAGATATATTCTCCAGTGAGGAACTAAGCCAGACACAAATTCCTTAGGTTCTTAAATTAATTCTAATTAATAGAAAATGTCAGAAGTATGTTCTAGTTTGAAAAGGCTTAATTTTAAAAATTATAAATGTATTTTCAAATTTTTGCTTTATAAACATTATACATTTTAAGTTTTAAAACTAAAATTAAAGAAGTACCACTGCCAAGTGAAGACCAAATAGAGCAAAGAGAAAACACTCTATAATTATGTCACTGAGAAAAAAGAAGTGCAATTACAAAGCCTGGATTTGTGCTCAATTTTTCAGAAATATATCTATTGAATTATCTCTGTATAAGATATTTCCATAATCAACAAGGCAAAAAAGTCACACAGATAAAATTTTACTTGAATAGATGAAAGCTCAAGATAATAGGACTAGTTCTACCCCCATTTTCTACTCTGCTTTACTGATGCAGAGAGAAAGCTTGTTCAAACATCTTGTTTGAATGTGAAATCTTTAGTAGAAAAAGTTTTCACACTTAGCTGTTGTTATTCTTTTCAAGGGGGTGCCATTGTATAGTACCTGTAGAAAAAAAAAAACCTATGCAATTTTATTTAATATTCTTAATGAAATAATTAGATTCACTCTTCAAATTCATTGTGGCCTCTGGACTTGTATATAAAAACTGTTACTAATGGAGCTTATGAAATATTGATGCTCAGGATGAGACTGTGTGGAACATAAGGGCCTAGAGGTTAACCAAATTCAAATTTACCTATAGAAATAAATTATGACTTTCAAAACTACTGTACCATACCCCTCATTCTACACATAGAGCCAAACCACAGTCTATTAAAAAGTAACACAAAGCTGTCCACAGTTAGTTTCACTAATAATTAACTAAAGCACTACCATTGTATGGTTGTTAAAGGTACGTATACTAAAAGCTCCTGATTCCCTTCTCCAAAAAAAGGAAACAGGATTCCTTGGGAAAACAATGATGATTTGGAATTGGATCAGGAAATACACAAGATGAGCACCTTATAGTTCCAGAATGTAAAGAAATGCTTAAAAAAACCCCTCGACAATAATGGGAGTATGCCAAAAGGATAAAAATCTTACTGAAAGATTTCCAAGTTTGGAGTTGAACAGTATGTGGAATGAAGTCATTTTAGATTATAACAATGACAAAAATCACACAAATGTTCACTAGTCCATAATGAAATAAGTAATTGAATATGTCAATAAATGAGGATGAAGAAACAAATCTCCCATGGAGAAGAATTCCAAAACAGTATGTAGATATTCTATCCTCAAGGAAGTAGAAAATAACTTCATAAGAGTGGTTTGTGTGTAGCAAATTCTTTCTGAAGAATAAACAGTACACAGTGATAGAGGGATAGTACTTTATAGCAAATAAACCTAACAGTATCTCAACCAAGTGATCAAGGTTAACATCAACAGTAACAGATCATGCTGACAGTATGTACCTTGATATAATGTGATGAAAATGGCACTTTACCTTTGGGTTTTTTCTCCCCTAAACACATGAGCCCAGTTTAATGATGAGTAAAACTTCAGACATTCTACAAGTCTGGCCAGTACTCTTCAAAACTGACCATGTCACTAAAACACAAGTCTGAGAAACTGCCACTAACATTAAGAATGAACACTGCCCTAAATGCATGTTATGCTTCAAGATAACAGCTAATGATATCATGAAGCATCATAATTACCATAAGATTATCATCAAGATTATGAAGAAAAACCTTTATAATTTCTACTAACAGGTTTGTTTTTTTTGTTTTTGTTTTGTTTTTTGTACCAGGGATCAAACTCACAACCTGCAAGGCACGTAACATTTAAAAGCTTGCTATAGGGGCCAGGGATTTAGCTCAGTGGTTCCTCCATCTGCCTTGTAAGTGCAAGGACCTGAGTTCGATTCCTGGTACCAAAAAAAAAAAAAAAAAAGCTTGCTATAGTGTAATTTTTTTATGAAATTTCACAAAATAACAAATATGTAGAAAGACTTTACAACATGTTACTAATATATCTTCCTGTATGTGGGGACTTATTTTGAAAATGAAAAATACATCCTTAATATATACTCAACAACAAATGATTTCATTAAAAAAACAAGTTTTAATTAAAATTGCATAAGGGTAGCCACTGAAAATGCAGACGTCTGGTGGGAACAAAAGGTACTCTAAAGGTACTCTGAAATGCTCGTTGTCACGTGGATAAAAGAAGACAAATTAGGAAGCATACCCTCACCAGACACTGGATCTGCCAGCACCTGATCTTGGGCTTCTCACTTTCCAGAACCATGAAAATGTTTATTGTTTTAAAAATAATTTGAGTTTCTGAAGTAGGGCAAAAGGTTAGCCCCACACATGAATTTCATATTTCCATCATTTATAGTGAGTAGTTACAGAAAAGCTGACGAATCCATAAATGTACTAAAGCTGATGAATCCATAAATGTACTACAGTATATCCCAATGTGGTTAATTTTACATAAACAAGACCTTTAATATATACAAGAATACTTATAAATTATAACGTGTGTAGAACTATCACATAGCACTACAATGACTTAGCTTCAGAATTTGCCTGCATGGACCAGAAACTCTGTCAATACAATTTATTAGCTAGGAGACCTCATCATTTAATCTATGAGCTACTATCACATGTAGAAAAGTGACACAACTGGTGGACAAGAGATAATTCATGTATAGCACTTAGAACAATGACTGGTCCACAGTAGCTATTCAATAAATGTCAGCTATATTACTGGCCATTATTAATGAGAGTAATCATGAAAATCTTTTCTACCACAAAGAAAGTCATTAATTACTTTTTGGTAAAGAACCAATTTAAAAGTATCAACTTAGGAATGAATTACATACTTTTCTTTTATAAATAAGTAAACATTTCAAATTTGTTGTCCTGGTTTGGTATATTTTATAAAGGCAGAAGTCGCTAAGAATACCCCACCAATACTTCTTGTTTAATTAAAGATTATATTGATAGTGCTGGCCATAAATATCTAACAGAAAGTACTTCACCAGCACTTTAAAATAGTATACATACCCTCAAATCAGGAGAAAAGTTGTCTGCAGAAGTTGAAATGGAATCTGATGATATAACAGAAGCTGATTTTGTATGTACTGAATTCTCTGAATGAGAAGTGGAGGCGCTACAAAATACAAAAGCACAGTATGTTTGAAAAATGGGAGCGTTAAGGAACAATTTTAGGCATTTTATTTATAATTCTATTATTTACTAAACATTCCACTGCCATTATCTTCCACTGCCCATTCAATCTTGTATCCAAATATAGATAAATTACAGAAGAATCTGTTATTTATATTGATTCATTACTGTTTACACTGAATCATTATCTAGCACATATATTTTTTAAAATTCTTAATAGTAAACAAGTCCAAACTGTGCTATGAACAGCCTCTACCCTTAAAATTTCTTTCCAGTAAAAAACATTATATCACACAAGCACATCAATTAACACTATGAGAAGTACAAACAAGGGATAGGAGAAAAAGCTCTCAGGAAATTGTAGTAATTACGACTAAGGAAGCAAAGAAATGTGTTAAGTTTAAACATTTCGAATTGCTATTTTCATAGGTCAAATGCTCAAATATCAACTTAGGATAAAATAAAGTTAAGAGAAGAAACTGAGCTTGAGTCTTTAAAGATTCCAAAGGTTAGACTGCGGCTTTATAAACCACAAATGAAAACCAAAGACAAAGAAATAAAAATAAAGAACTTGAGAAAGTATAGGGCATATTTATTGAGCAATAAGCAGTTTATTCAAACTAAACAGATAAAAAACAAAAAATACAACCTATTGCATCCTAAATACTAGGCTTAAAAGCCTTGCTAGTAAAAGGATACCACTTCATATCTACTAGGGTGGTCATATGTAACTGAAACAAAATAGCAAGTGTTGGCAAAGATATGGAAAAATTGGAATATACTACGAGTAGGAATTTAAAAATGGTATAGTCATTCTGGAAAACAGTCTGGCAGTTTGTCAGCAGATAAATCACAGGGGCCTATATGACTCAGCAATTCCATTCCCAAATATATATGGTCAAGAGAAATAAAGACATGTCCACAGGGGGGAAAAACACCGAAATGTACATAAATGTGTACAAAAATATACTTAGCATCATTGTTTTTTTTTTTTTTTTGGTACCAGGGATCGAACTCAGGAATTTGCACTTGCGAAGCAGGAGCGGTGCCACTGAGCTAAATTCCTGGCCCAGCACCATTATTCTTAATAGCCAAAGAGCAGAAAATGATCTATGTCATTCTGCTTAAAATCCTTCAAAAAGGCTCCACACTGTTCTTAGGATAAAGATCAATACTTTACCATTGCCTCAGGTTGGCACATGATCTGGCTGACCACTGACTCCTCCAAGCTTCCCTTTCTAAATCTTCCCCTTGTTTCCCCCAGTCCAACTACGCAGGACTTCTTTGAGATCCTTAAATAGCCTGGACCTCTGCAGTGAGCATGGTTCGCCAAACACCCTCTCAACTTTAATTCTCAAGAGAAACACCACAGAAACACCTCCCCTGGGAAACCCAATTGGATATGGTGCCCCAATAGCTGCTCTCACAGCACACTGTGATTTTCTTTCTTTCTATTTACCAGTCTGTTCTTACATATCTTAGTAAATGTTTGATTAATATCACATTCCCTACAATTTCAAACTTCAAGAAAGGAGGGAAATGTTGAGAGAAGGATGTGGGTTTTCCTCACCATTCTATTCCTAACAGCCAGGAAGATGCCTGGTCTAGAGCAGACATTCAGAAAATATTTGTTGAACAGATGGATAGATGAGAAAGAGAATGATTAAAAGACTGGATTATTCTAATCCAATTCATGAGAGGCCATGATTAGAACATACAAGGTAAAATAAAAAAGAAAAGTGATATAAGGAGAGTAGGAAGACATGTGAAACAAAAATAAAGAAAAATAAACAAGGTTGTTAGCCTTCTGGAGTTCTTATGTGTTATTTTATATACCACATATAATATCCTATTCCCATTAAAAGGTTCAACATGATATTGAGGCAAACATTTCTTTAAGGCCGCTACATCTTAAGGGAACAGCAATCATTAAACAACTGGTGGGAACTGAGTTTTAAAAACATGTTATTTCCACTGGAGTGTTTAAAGGGGAAATAGCCAGAAATCAAGAAACCAGGATCTTAGCCTTATGTAGTTAGCAGCACCACTCTTGGCCAACCCAGTTAATCGCCACACCTCAGAACAGTTTCACACTCTGAAAAGCACTGTTTAGATTGTTAGTGGTCCTTAAATTTTTGATGGTCATATACCATTTTGAGAATCTCATGTAATCTATTCCTTGATTGCTCAAAATGTCAGAGATTTTTAAATGTCAGGGACTTTATAATGTTTAAGGTCAAGATGTGTGGCTTGCAACATCAGGGACCATAAAGTTAAAATTCTTAGCCCAAAGAACCCTTTTAGTTCTGATGTAATACAGGTTTCTGAAATGAGTAGGTTGCCTTTTGTAATATCCATGTAGCATCTAGATGAATACTGAAAAATTAAACTGAGAAATTTATACATGCATGTGCATGCACACATTAAAATAGATTCATATTTAAAAGTTTTCTTTAAAATATTTTAATTAGTCTTGAATATCAAATTAAGACACATAAATCACATAGAAGAATTATTCCAATATTGTTTCTTAAAATCTTTTTTTCTTAAAATCTTTTAGAAAACATTTGTGTGTAATAGATTTAAAGAGAAACTAAATCTAATAGGTACATTTATTTCAGGAGCTCTGGAATAGCACTATGTAAATTCAAAACCTTTGTTTATAGATAAATAGAAAAGATATTAAGAAATATAACACAATTTCATTAAATATTTTCATTCTTTATATTAAGTTATTTTATCTGGACTTGTACTTATTTTTTTTAAATATATTTGAAAATTACCTAATTCAGCTAAGTAGTGATTCCATTTCAAATGCATACACAATTTCAAAATGTACTTCATTTCAAATTACATCTGCATTCAAAGGAGAGAGACCCTCTAAAAATACATACAGGATTGGTTGGCTCTGTAACTCTTCTCTCTAAGTAATTTAATCAGACAGATCTAGAACAGAGGAATATAAACTCAACTGATTCCAGGACATTAGCCTTGACAGTGCCCAACAGGGTTCTGTTTGCAGGCTTTTTTCTTTGTGATTCACACACTTAGCTATAACCTTGTAACCTCAGTACTTTGGAGATGCCTATTAGCTTCAGTAGCCTGACTCTTCTGAAGCACTTGTCTGCCAAAGTGAAAAGTGGAAATACAGTACATGACTTGAAGTAATCAAGGTACCTGAATCTCTGAGAGCATATTCATTTTTACTTCAAGCACCACATGTGATTTTTCTTCACAAGTCTCTTCCCAAATCTGCAGACCGTATTTCATTTTGAGCTCAGCTTCCTTCTACATTTCAGCAAACTGTCTATCCTCAGTCTCCATTTACTCAGTATGCCCTCATTCCTTAATCCCTTGCAATCTAGGTTCTGCCTCTATCAATCAGCAATCCTTTAAAATGTCTTTCTATAATTACTAATAACCTGACTGCTTAAAAAAAAAGCCTTTTCTCAGTTCTGAATATAAATTCTCACTTTCTTCACTATATTATTTTAGTTGTACTATCTCTCATTTTAATTTAACCAATTCTTTACAGTACCTACTATATGCAAGATATATGTAGTATCTGCCTTTAGTGAGCTTTCATTCTAGTGTACTTCACACAACTACATCCACACAAACGCACACACAGAGTATGATAAATGCATCAGAGACACAAACAAAGCACTTGGGAGTTTGGAAATTGAAAAATTCACATATACCTTTAATTTAGAGGCTCAAGAAAGGCTTGAAGATAGAGGTAGCATTAGGGAGTAGCTATAATCATAAAAGACATTCAGTACCTTCCCAACAATTTCACTAAGCAAAAAAACATCCTGACCAAAAACATTTAGGAAATTTAGGGCATGTTAAAGCAGTTTTCAGAAGTAGACCACTTTGGGGCTGGGGATTAAGCTCAGTGGTTCCGCTGCCTGCTTGCCTTGAAAGAGAAAGGTCCTGAGTTCAATCTCCGGTACCAAAAAAAGGAAAAGGAAAAAAAAAAAGACCACTTTGGTTAAAATATAAGGCATAATCAAAGAAAATCCTGAAAAGGTGGGTTTGAACTAGATTGTAGTAGGTACTAAACAAGTTGATATTTAGTTCTGTAAGCAATGAGAAACTACTGACAGTTTCTGTGCTTTACAAAGACTTTTTTTTTGGTACCGGGGATCAAACTCGGAACCTTGCACTTGCAAGGCAGGCGACAGAACCACTGAGCTAAATCCCCAGCCCCAAAGACTTTTAATAACAGGTCAAAGAATGGATTATAACAATAGAAAAATTTGTTCAAGACAATAAGAAAGCCTACTCAAGTCAAGAATACTGAGTACCTGAACTACCACGTACTCATGACTATAACTCTAGCTACCTGGAAGGTGAAGCAGGAAGACTGTGAGGTCAAGGCCAGCCTGGGCAATGTACCAAATTAATATCTCAGAATAAAGAAATGGAAAAAAAGAGGTTGAGGGTTTGGCTCAGTAGAAGAATGCTTGCCTACCATCCATGAGGCCATGGGTTCAATTTCCATTATCACACAAAAAAAATTAAATAAAAACAAGTCACTATCAACCCAACCAATCATTCTCTATCCCTTTCTCTGCTGTTACTGTTCCCAGCATACTCATCATCTGACATTCTTTTTGTTTTACTTATTTCTCTCTCCCACATTCCCTCCTACCCCAACCCCCTTAAAATGTAAGCTCTTTGAAGGTCTCAAATTTTGTCTGTTTTGTTCACTACTGTATCCATATTATCTAGATCATGCATTCCCAATGAAAGGAATGTTGCCTCCAAAGGGGAAAAATGGTTCTTTGAGGGTAGAGTCAAAAAATATATTACTCTTTTAAGTATAAGGTATAGATATACATATGGTATATAAAATTTATATTTCCATGGGTAGAGAGAACAGCTTGGGGGAAAATCTTCCTTAGGAGGCAATAATGTTTTAAAGGGTTGAGAAACACTAGTGAGTATTAGACTAATGCCTGGCATATAGTAGAAGCT